AACGTGGATGGCTTTTGTCTCCCTGCTGGCTCCATGATGGATGGGTGGCCTATCCGCGGTGTGCCCGGCTGCAACAGGCTCCAGCGAAAGACTCCCGCTTTTTATTTTTGCCTCTGACATTTTCTAAGAAAGCCCCTTGCAGCCGGTGCCTCATTTCAAGGCGTCTGAATTGATAACGTCTTCCCAAACTAGCTCCACCAGGTCGAGTTCTAACATTCAAAGCCGGCTTGATGTATCACATGCAGAGGCACCTGACCCCGCACAAACCAGGTCTGTCCAGTTCTAAGAAACTCGGCGTCTTTCATTTCAAATGTTCCTTCCTAAAAATCAACTGCAAGCTGGGCGCTGTGGATCCTCGCTCCCGGACACGGACCCGAACGAGGCAGCTGGCGGGGTCCTTTCTGCAAGTCAGGCGCAAATCTTCCCCCCGCAGCTGTGAAAATGGCTAAACATGAGAAAAAGCAAGCTGAGACGTGAGGGCCGGCAGCAGGAACAGAAGGCCCAGCTCCTCCTGCAGAGGGACTTCTGGACAATCCTGTGGAAAACTACTTCGACCTCAGCTGAAGCGCCCTTTGTTGAGCCATCTTCTTTATCAGGTCTGCGGAAAACTGCTGGAAACGTCTGCATTAGCGTTCGCACTGCGTTGTTAAAAATCCCTCTGAAAGGCTCCACAGATGTTTCTTATTATTCATTGGTGTAAAGGATTGTGTCATAGCAGCATTTCCCCCTTCCATTTCCATCTAAATGGAAATAAAATGTGGCAGAATGAAGGCTGAGCTTCCAACTAAAGCAGCTGGGTTTAGTAGATTTTTTTCTTTTCTTTTCTTTTTCTGATGAATGAAAATGACCGACGCTGTAGGTCTGCATGAAGCCAAATCGAGTCACAGAGGGGATCCTGTTCAACAGCGTTCTGTTTGATTTCAGAAGTGCTCCCTGGCCGATTGGAGGCGCGGCTGGGGATGACCGTTCCCTCTGGGCCTGCGGAGCCAGACGTGTCCACAGCCCCGGACAGGCAGAACAACGCTAACACAATAAGGGGCACCTGTGCACACACACGCACACTCAGGGAGGACTGGCTTTAGCTGGTGCTGGCGTCCCATTTGGATTATTATAAAAAACACTCCATTTGTGCCATTAGGAGCCCAATAACCTGTGGCCTCGTCTCTTTGAGTTAACTTTTAACACGTCCTTTGGTCGTCTCGGCCTGTGGGATAAGAATCAACTCTCCACCAGTGTCTTTATTAAAGCAGTCATCAAGCATAAAAACTGCTTCTGAAATATACATGCATGATGCGTCCTGTCAACCAGCTGGTGCTGCTTTAATATTTGGGTGTCACACAAGGAGAACCTGTTTTAAAGCAGACTCTTCATCTGATGGTCATCAAAATCCAATCCAAGGAACTAGCAGCTTCCCTCATTTTTCTGAAGAGAAAGCCCACAAATCGGCCTTCATTTACATCTGGAAGGAGGACTGTATCTCATTGGCTCGTGTCACAGCGTTCCATGTTAATCAATTGACAGCTTGTTCATCAAGAGAAAAAAAAAAAAACTAAGGCTGAAAAGAGGGCTATTTATGTCAGCCTATCATCGCTAACCATGCAACTGTCCTCACGGCGGCTCTAATAAGCATGATCCCGCTCCAATATTTTAAGATGACACAGTTTGAGGTAAACCTTCCCAGCATCCCTGGCTCCTGCGCCAGCTGCTTTCCCGCTCCCCTCAGGATACAGTCGCGAACGCCGGGCTAGTCCTCGGTGGTTCAGACAAAGAAAACATGAGGTCTGGCCCTAAAAGGAAAAGCAAATACGTCCAGTCTCATCTCAACAGACCGGCTGTACGGTTTCCACCAACAGCAGCACATTCCAGCGCTTCTCCGGCTCCTTCCCCGTTTTGCCGGCCTTATCTCATTTGCGTTGAATTTTGGGTTCACCAGGGGGATAGAAATATGATTCAGACATCAGGGCCAGTCTGGAGAAAGTGCAGCGTCTGTGGGACAGCGGCCATGTCCTCCTCCGGCCCTCTGCATTTGGATGTGTGAGCGGTCCCTCTGGCCGCCTCCACGGCCTTTGGCTGACCTCTGAGTGCCTGTGGACAGAACACCTGTAGAGATGTCTGACAGACAGGGCCCACTTCAAAGCCGGGCCGTGATTGGGCCGTGATTACCACGGCCACTTGAGCCATTCAAGGTTTTTCTGAACTTTTTGCCGACTCTAATTTATTTGGAAAGGAAACAGGGGATTGGGACACTCTTGGGGTCGAGTGTCCATTTTTTTCGAAGACTTATTTCTTATGAGGCTAATTTCTCTGATAGTTTTTTTAATTAGGTAGAGGCCAAATGGCACTGATGTTTAGGAAAGGCTGTCATTTTGCATCAGTGAGGGGGGGCGGTTTGATACAGCAGCGACTTGAAAGCCAAAACCAATTCAACCACAACAACAACAGCAACAGTCAGCTCTGCTTTTCTGTCGCTAAACGGAGCAGAATTCACTGTGGCTACTGGTCAGGCGCCCCGTCCCCAGCAGCCCGCCGCCGTGGAGGCCGTGGTGGAGCTGGCATGGCCCGGCAGCTCCACGGGCCTCGCTTCTGTAGCCCCGGCCCAACAGCTCCAGCAGCCTCTTTTTCACACACGCCTGCTATCGGCTAGTTGTCTCCCCAGCCTGAGTGCAGCATTTGGACACGAGCACAGGCTGGCTGAATGGGTAATAAAGTTGAGATGCCAAAGTTGACTTGATAATGATATAATCATCTGATAAAATAAGGTAAAGGAAGCCAGAGTTGCTCAAATCGGAGCGGTTAAGGCTTTATTACACAGGTAGGTCTGTTTCAGGCAACATGTATATAGTTTACTAAAACCACAGCAATGAATCGGCGGTGTGGCTGTCTTTTTAAAGGCAGACATCGGTAGATGTTCACGCCAGGCCAGGAGGATTACGACGAAAGCAGGCCGAGGTGTTTGTATTTCCTTGGGCTTCCTGTGTTTTCAAAAGAACGGCCAGGAGTGAGACGGTTGGGATTTCCAAGATAAAACATCTAGCTGTTACGCATTTCATCCCAATCAGCCTGTAAAGCCAGCCGGCCCACATCTCATTGTGATGATGAGCATGATGTGTTTTCAGAGATGATGCGTGGCTCCATGCCTCAAACAGCTTCTGGGCTATTTTACAGGATGTGCTCCTGTACCACAATTTAGCCCATTATCTCCCATGTCTGCTACATCAGAGATGCTACTGGAGTCCAGCATCACAAAGGTCTGTGACTAAGCACGCAGACTCCTTGTTTACAGCCTTTTACTCCAACGCTCTGGCTTAGGTGTCATTCCAAACCGTCGATCAGATCCGGGGCCTCGGTGGGCTTCTCTTTGACCTAAATAAAAAAGGTAATCTGACGGAAGCTGAAGTTGAATAAATCGAGGCACGTACTCGCATAAAAGCAGGTGCACCTGTCTGCAGTGGCAGCCTTTTGTGTTCACTGTCAAAGGAGCCACGGACAGTCCAGTCGAGCTCCAGGTGGAAAAAAAAAAAAAAGACCAACACACAGAATCAAACCAAGTCAGAGTCTTACCGTGGTGATTTCAGTCATTGCTCCCCATCATATCGTTCTCAGTCCAGACCTCTGACGAACGGTTTATTCCTTTCTGGCTGTCTCACTCCCTCCCTCCCTCTCGCTCATCCCCATGTCATGTTTCTCCGCTGCAGCAGAACGAGGCCACGCCCCCCTCGGAGGACGTCGTGACGTCACCCATTGACGGCCACTTCCTACGTGCCCGTCGGAGGCACGTCCCGCGGGGAGCCGCCAGAGGGCGCTGTGCTAGAACAAATCCGAATCAGTTCAGCCTGTTAAGCAGAGAAAGAGAGAAAACACGAGCGCAAAGCTGAGATTTAGAAAAACAGAGCATGCTTATTTTCCTTCTGTCGAAGCTAGGAGTAATGATTTACAATCCAGTCCAAAGCACAAGCGTCTCCCTCTACTTGTTTTAATGACAATACATCTCCTCTCCTGTCCAATTTTGGTATTGTTCCTTTATGATTTGTAATATAATGTTCAATTATTAAAAGTAACATACATTAAGGATATTTTAATTAACATTTGTGTCCATCTATTTATTTTGCTGATCTAAATTAACTGAAAAACATTTTTACACAAGAGAACTTATTTATTTTTTTAAATGGAAAACTGTTTTATGTCATGACATAAAAAAAAGAAAATACTAAACTCAGAAAGACATGTCTCCCTTGATTTTTTATAGATTGCAGAACCATTTAAAGCCATAATAACTTGGACATTTTGGTTTCTTTATTCATGTTTTCAGTTACTCGTATAGCTGTGGACAAATTATGGTCTGTTCATTGAGATATGCCATAAACATACTATGCATAGCTCTCTCAAGCACCCACGACAGTATATTAACCAGGTCGAGGTTTGGACCTTGACCTGGGCACTGCAACACCTTGATTTTTCTTTCTTTTCTCGCCATTCTGTTGTAGATTTACCAGTGGGTGGGGATTATTGACCTGATTCTTGACACAGTTCATTTATCTTTAAGCTTGCAGACACATTACCTCACAACTCACTCAAGAAACCTTTGGTTTACACAGGAGTTCATGGTTGACTTAATGACTTCAGAGTGCCCAGACCAGGCGGTTGTAAACTGTCCCAAATAACTTCTCTATACTTTACTGTTATAATGAAGGTGTTTGGTTGGCCATACTGCTTCTTTTTTATAACCCCCCCACACCCCCAGTGGCTTTTCCAAACATACCAAATTTGTTGTGTGGTGGAATATTTGTATGTCTCTCCTGATAATAAAACTAATTTTAATTATTTTTTTAATGACTTCAAATCCCCTTTGGCCACCTCTATCTATCTATCTATCTATCTATCTATCTATCTATCTATCTATCTATCTATCTATCTATCTATCTATCTATCTATCTATCTATCTATCTATCTATCTATCTATCTATCTTTCTATCTGTCTATCTCTATCTCACGTTACACGGATGCTGGGTTTCCTCCCAGGGTCGTTTAATAAAGGCTCGCCGCAGTCGGCTCTCATTGTCCACAGCCTCATTTCAACAAACTGGTCCAGCAAGTTATTTGTGTGTTGGACTCACAGAGCTCCACATATCGATCCGCCGGCGTACCTGCCGCACGAACTGCGCCTTTGGCAGTGTTTCGGAGACAGTCTTCGGTCACAGCTATGGGCTCCTTCACCGCCTTCTTCTCCCTCCTCGTCCTGTGCGTCGGACTCGGTGGATGTAAACCCTCGTCGTCCTGTCCGAGCGGACAATTTATGCTCAAAAACCAATGCGTTCTGTGTCATCCCACCTGCTCCGAGTGCGACGGGCACGAGCTGTATGAATGCACTACCTGTGGAGTTTGTGAGTATATGATTTTCCTGGCAAGTACTTGAACACAGCATCAATCTTAAGTTGATGTCTGAGCCAAATGTGAATAATGTTTCCATGCGTATAATAATGCATTTGCCCCTTAGAATGTGATGCTTTTATTTTAGTTGTTTTTCTTTCCTGCTACGAAGTTTTGCATTCATATAAATAGTCTTGTTGAGCCTCGCTGTTTAAAATGTAGAAAATAGGAACGGTATTAGTTGCCACTGGCCAAATAACTCCACTTTTTGTTTGCTGTTGTGCTTCATTCAGACTCATTAATCATACAAACGGGAGGCTGTTTTGTTCTTCAAAAGAGCCCTCATTAATGGTTACCAAATCACAGCGATGTGAAGGCTTTTGTTCCACAGCAAGCTTTCAAGCTCTGGCTCACCATTTACTCTCGTTAAACATTCAAAGCTGGACCCAAGGACTTCTTGATTTTTTCTGTCACAGTGGCACCTTTGAAACAGGCTTTTAAAAAGATGAAGGTGTGATCATTTTCCATTCGACTTTTCACTGTGTAATCCGATCATGTCAGAATGGGGCCTTTGTTAATGAAAGAGAAAACATTCTCCGGGGCTACAAACAGGCTGTTGTTGTTTGCAGTAAACTGGTTCCCCTAAACATACTCACCTCCCAACCAATACTACTGACATCACCCCAACCATGTTTGCATTGACCATTCCGTGAACATTTAAGTGGATCCTTTTTCTGCTGGTGTGGAGTCCTTTCCCCACATATCTTTGTACGTGCAGCAGGTTCGCCTCTGGAAGGTAGGAGGCTTTGGAAATCTGCAGCCTGATGCCAGGGTGCTGTCTTATTTGGAATTCTTCATATTTTCATACATAATCAGCGCTGTGACACTGCAGAAAACACTGCGACTGGCATGCTTTTCACAGGTTCAGAACACCAGTAGTAAGTGAGAGAGCTATGCACCGGAATTAACCAAAACAAGTCACGGTGCCTTTCTAAAGCTCTGATCTCTCATCGGTCCCCCACCCCTCTCGTTTGAAGAGTCTTCAGCGGGATTTCTTGCTGTCATCTGTTGGTTAGGATATGCTGAGCTGCAGGCCTCTGTTTTCATTACAGCCTTATTTGATTACCTGAATTCCCAGTTTCCCAACAGTTTGGAGTGATGCACCTTCTGAGGAAATGACTTCTGTTGCCTCTTCAAACTGCTCTTATGGAAGCGTTTAACAGTCATACTCACACTCATGTGTCCTTTCATCTGTCTCTTTGTATCCTGTAATGGCTTTACTGTCCAATATAACAGTGGAAATGGAACGTTAATCACTTCCACAGGTTGACAAACGGTGTCTTCATCAGAAAAAAAACCCCAAAACAAGACCAGGCTTTATGACAAATCCTCTGTGTCCTCCTCCTCCTCCTCAGATGAAGATGGACAGGAGCGTTTCCTCCACCAAGGTCGCTGTCGGACAAACTGCCCCCGGGGATTCTATCCTGACAGGGGTCACTATGCCTGCCTGCCCTGCATCACCAATTGTGAACTCTGCACAGATGGCAACATATGTGCCAAATGTCGGGAACACTACAAGCTCCAGAGTGGAGTCTGCCAAACAGCGCTGTGCGACAAAGGTACCTTTAAACCGCAGTCTGCGCCGGTCGTAACTTAAAAGAAACGCATCCCTTGTGGTGGGTTTTTCTGTTGCAGGGCAGGTGCAGGACCCCGATACGGGAGAGTGTATCAACTGTGAAGCCGGCTGCAAAACATGCTCCACAGGTCAGCCCCAGCCTCTTGTCTTCAAACTGCAGAGAGGTTGAGCTATGTATATTGAAAGCCCTGTGATGATGGGGCTGTGCAGCGCCGTTTGCCTGTGCCTTGGAATTCTAATTAATCACCTTTTTCTCCTCTGTACCCAGAAGACCCTGAGATCTGCAACAGCTGCGCTCAAGGTTACTTCCTGTGAGTCTTTTTCTAGCTTTGTTATGTTTTTGACAAATACACTTCCCTTGGTGGTCTCGGCTTTCTGCTGTAGAAATCAAATGTGGGGGCTCCAGGTAAATAACTTTTTATGTTCCATTTTCTTATCAGGCAGTCTGTCCGTTACTTCTATGATACAGAAGGTTTTCCACAGTGTTAATTCTTGTTACTGTTTCTTAGAACCCATTTTGTGATTTTTTGAGCTGCATGCTATTTTTTAAACACATTTTTTCAATCATAACATTTTTTTTCTGTGATTAATACATGTATCTAATTAATTTTATTATTTGGATCAAATATATCGACACAGATTTACTAGAAAATAAAACATGCATTGTAATAGCTTTTCTTTTCATTTGGCTTCTCCTTGCCAGAGAAGAAGATCTATAAATCAGAATCTAATATGGAGACTAATATTCCGCATCGCTGCCAGAGTGGCGGAACAGAATTTGCTCACTCCATACTGCAAGAAATTTCACTAGGATTTCTGTTTACACCAGCTTATCAGCCAGACCCAGTGAGCAATACCGGTTATAGAGCTAGAACAAACGCTCAATTGTGTACTTTTCCCCTGAGTTTAGGCCTCCTGGTGTTCCGTGAGTCAGGTTACCTTCCATTCTCAGTCACAAACTGCTACCTGAGTCTTGGTTTGCTCACAGAAGAAACCTCACATGGTAGGTTATGAAAAAAAAAGAATGGACAGAGGAGAATAAAAGACCACATATAGGTGGAAAGCCAAATCAGTGTGTGGCTATACAGGGTGCAGCTGACTGCTCATGTGAAACACAACAGATGAAGGTTGAGGGAAAATTCACCACTTAATTGTGCTCACTGCTTTGCAGAAATTCTCAAAGATACTCAGTCTCACTGTGTGAAACACGGAGGGGGACTTCCAATTTAAGAGTAATGTTTTAAGAGATTTACAATGGCAAACCATCACGACTAGTACTGCAGCCACAGTTCTTATTATATCTACCACATGCAGCAAACTCCAATAAATGAAATCCAGTGTATTATTAGGTGATTGTAAACTGGAAGTCCCATCCCTCTGTGATAAATTGTGTCAATTTCTACTATTTGAGATTTTGAATGTTTTGAAAGAATGTTTGAAAAGGACAGTTTTGGCATGACTTTGGGTGCCTGGGGGTGCCAGTGTTACTTTTGCATAAAACACTGCCTATTACGAAAACCCACCATGATGGATGCTTGGTATTTGTTGGCATTTACCTCCATCCCTGAGGTGCAGAGTAACATCAGCAAAACGGGGAAATTGCTGTGATTCATTCTAAATATGGCTTAAACCATTTATTTTCTGCAGGTTTCCTTAAGTCTAGAGATAACCTACAGCATGGTTTAGCCCATTTCTAACTAATTCCTGCAGTAAAAGACATACATTAGACTTCTAGTAGAAATGCAAATGTGCTCTCTTGGAAGTAAAAGTCTAATATTTGCACAGAGGGACTGTTAAACATTTTGCAGATTCTTAAGTAGAGCACTGTTTCCTAGCTTGAGACAGACCCTGATCCCCGCCAGCTGCTATTGTGAGTGAGTTGATGGATTCAGTGTGGCGCCTCCAGCTGTTCTTCCTCAAACAACCACCACATCTTAGCACTAAATCCAAGGCAACACAGTAAGAATGGCAGCTTCTGCTGTCCGTGGTCCGATCGCCATTAAAAAAGCTGACAGCAGAGAATGTTGCATTACATGAGTTAATGACTAATTGGTCTAAAGTCTTAGTGTTTCAATATTTATTCATTGCAGTACACTTTGCAAGTCCCAACATGTTTCAAGTGTTTATGCATTCATCTTTAATCACCCAGCTAAGCCTTAAAGGCCTTTTATCATGAGCTTATAATATAAATAATCTTAAAACCTGAGGGGGAAAAAGATGAACAAAAATTCAAATTCAGCCCTTAGAGGAGAATACAACCACAAAAAACTGAAGAAAAGGAGTCTACTGTCCATGTTTCTCTCTGTAGGCCATCATCATTGTTGGGCTGAATGAACCTTTTGGCAGAAGAGTGTATTGAAGTCAACAATACAGCTGCAGGTGTGCTGTGAACCGCCACAGGGCATGTTGGGATCACTGGTTTCAATTCATCTAGCACCAAGCTAATGCGGGCTGAAGCCGCCTACAGCAGTGCACTCCTTCTTTCAGGGCAAAAGCTTTCATATCACCATAAAAACACAATTGTTTTAACAGTTGTTTGACATTTCAGAAGTTTAGGTCTGCCTGTTTCTATACCAAAATGCCATATTTTGCTGTAACTTTGACCATCACATGTTTGAACACATTTTAACACATGTCGACCAAATACACTTCTAGACAAATAATTTGTTAGGCATCAGCAGTTGTGAATATTATGAATGGCATTTGGATCTATCTACCTCTACCCACAGATTCAGACACCAGTGTCGCAGACATTGTCCCCAGAGCACCTATGAGGACCACGGCAGGGGGGTGTGCCTGGCCTGCCCGGGGCCGTGTGAAGACTGCAGGAGCAACACAAACTGCCTCGCCTGCCAGCCAGGATACTTCCTCAACGGTACCATATTAAGATAAATAAAAAAACGTACACAAATGTATTCCTTCCTGCCATCATATGAAAAGCTTGAGGTGACTTCTTATACAATATTTGTGCTCAAAGAGATCCTTTAACCTCAAATCTTTGTTCTCGTGAGCAGTCATTGTTACCGAAAACAATTGATGCCACTCTTGAGTCTTCATTTGGATTGCAAATCACATTTGTGTCAGCAAATCTGCAAGGAAATATATGCAAATGCATGGTTTACGCAAACCAGGAATTAGGACTTTGTTGTTCTATATAAGCATTAGAGAAAAAAAAGATTTTTTATTGTATAGAGAAAAGGTTGGTAATAATATAGATTCACTCACTGCTACCAAAACAATAGTTTCCTGCACATACTTTATGGGAACGGGGGTGTGCATTCGAACCAGTCTCTACCTTCAGCGACAAGATTGAGTTTCGGAAAGATCTAGGTCATCGTTTTGTGCCTGGGCAGTCAGATGGAATTTAGAGAGGCAGTAATCCTGAAAGAGGAGAGGAAAAAGGATTTAAACATTACAGGCCAAAAGAGGAATGAGCCAGTCATTTCTTTAGTGTTAAAAATATCTAAACTCTGCATTTTATAAATGCTGTTCTTCATACTATATAAACAGACCCTGAAAGGTAGAAATAAACTCTTTTGTATCAGTTAGATGTTGCAAAGAACATGTTTCACAAATCACATTAAGAGCTGCATTTACGTCGGAAATAATAAAATGATTGTAATGTCGCTTTCTCTGTTCACATTTGTGTTTTGTCAGGAAGGGAGTGTGTAAAACAGTGTCCAGCACAAACCTTCAGCGACTCCAGTGGGTGGCGCTGCCAGCTCTGTCACAGGTCATGCCAGACGTGTCACGGACCACATTCCACAGACTGCGATCTGTGTGTCGGCGGGAATGTTGCTCTGCATGGTCAGTGCCCTCAGGTTAGCTGCCCACCGGGACAGTACCTCGATGGTAAGTCGAACCCCTGAGATAAAGCTGGTTTTATCTGCTAATCCATTTTAAAATAGCTCCTCAGGGAGTAGTTTTTGAGCGGCTGCTAAAAGCTTTTCAAGAAAAAGTATGTGAGCTGTTAAATTGAATGTGAATCCCAAAATTGAGTTTTTTTTATTGCTTAATAAAGGCCAATGCTGCTAATAAAAGATTCAGTGTTTACCGTTAGAAAAGCACCTTTTAAAGAAGACAGGCGTTTGGAGAAGTTATCTAAAAGTCTCCAAACAAAGAAATATTTTAAACCAGGATACTTAATGATATAAAACTCAGAGAAAATACTACATTCAAGGTTTTTTCAATCCCAGCTGAATGTGTGTGCCATCCATTGTGTTCTATTGGATGCTTTTAGTTGCTTTTGACTCAAAGGAAATTAGAGGAGAGTTTCCCTTCACATAAATATGCAAACTGGGTCAATAATAAGGACTGCACCATGAAAGAAGCACTACTCAGCGGCTTATCACAGCAATTGTTTGTCTTTTAAGACTCTGGCAATAAAATGAAAAGAATCTGAAATCAACGCAATTGAATGCGGGGGCATAAAATATTGTTGAACTGGAAATTGAAAACCATGGAGCATCTTGGCTAATGAGAGAGAACATTATAGATCCATGATGTTATTTATTTGTGTGTGTCTCCGTGAGCTAGTACATTATTTCTAAAGAGGTTTGATATCATATTCTCAAACCAGGTCTGCTGATGTGAATTCTCAGCAAGTGTAATTGTTTTCTGTATAATTGGCGCACCATTCGATTGTGCCCCCCCCCCCCATGTGTATGAGTATGTCAAATACTTTCACCCTCCCCAGTCAGTTTCTAAGGTATGTCAATATAATGAAGGAAAATGGTGCTGACCTTATTAGAGAAAGTAACATTAAAGGCTGGTGACTTATATGGGTCGCAAAGTGATAAAATACAATGAGACGAAATGAGCAGTGAGCACAGTGGCGTCATTGGTTGATCATCCTGATAACAGGATACTCGTCTGACTGGTGGGAATAGTTGCTTTACTCCCTCGGGTAACAACAGAGTTCTGTGCACAATCACAGATATTTGGGATTCAGTTTTTTTCTCAAGGATACTTCACAATGCTGATGCTTCTTCGAGGTGTCGTGAAAACAAAAGGCTCCTCTCCCTCGTGTGTCTGTCTCCCTTAAATTCTTTCCAGCTGGTGTTGGGGTCAACAACACAGAGAGACAGAGTGGCATTGTTATCGATCTCATTATGTAGCTGAGTGTCTACATTTCTGCTGTATCACTCTTATTATTTACCTTCGTGGTTTCACCTTGACTTGACACCCCTTGTCTTGTTTGCCAATTCTCTTAACTTGCTCCCGTGAAATTCTTTTTTCTGCCTCATATGAACATGAGCAGCAACTTGGTCCTAACAAAGTTTTTTTTAGTCGTTTTGAGATTCATTAATTTAATTTCAAATCTGCACAAACTGTCTCCACATCTGTCCCTTGACAAAAATCCTTTTTGCCTCAGTTTCTTTTGGCTTTTTTAATCTGGTATTCCAAGCATTTTTAATGAATTTGCTTACACACTGAGATAGACAGAAAGAAAATTGTAGACCATCGACATGAGATGTATGATTTGACATTTTGATCAGAATAGAATATTACATTGAATTAAAAAAAATTGAGAAATTATTTTGTGTAAACAGCGAGAGACAGATCAATACATTTATCATAAGATACAGGTTGTATCTTGTGTCATCTTATTTTAGGTACAAGATTTTACAATAATTGATGTTGCAGCTTTCAAAAAGTGTACTACACTATGCACAACTTCTTGTCTTTCGCTCCTTGGTTTCGCAGTGGTTTAAACAGGTTTTGCTTCCCTCCAGTGGCAGGGAAAGTTAAAACACACCCTGTGCTTTGTCCTTTGTTTTCATTTCTAGGGAAATATGGAGAATGCCACACATGCGATGCTTCCTGTAAGGCCTGCTTTGGCCCACAGGACTTAGACTGTTCCTCTTGTTTCACAGGTACAAATATTTACTGTTCTCTGGCATGAGAGTTATTTGAAAAAATGATCCCGGTTCTTATGTTACTCTGCATGTATGCATCTGCGTGTCACAGGATATTTTCTGGACCAGGACAGCTCTTGTGTGGAGCATTGCCCCTCCGGTTCCTATGCAAACCCTGCCACTCAGCTGTGCGAGGACTGCTCGCCTAACTGCGAGGACTGTGTGGACACCAGCGATAACTGCATCAGCTGCTCCAAAGGCAGCAACAGGCTTTTCCTCCACCAGGGGAGGTGCTGGTCGAATTGCCCAGAGTAAGAAATTTGGGCGATTGAGTGAGCAGCAAAATCAGATATAGTTTTGTTTTCAATTCTTCTTCTTCACGTGTGACGATCTATTTCTTGGCATGGTTACAGAGGGTTTTTTGAGAGTGCGGAAGGGCTGTGTGAGGCCTGTGACAGCTCCTGTGTCACCTGTGACGGGACCAAGTGGCAGTGCCTGTCCTGTGCTGACGGCCATTACTTAGAGAGCGGCGCCTGCAGCCTGAACTGCTCTCTGCGGACGTACCCGGGCGATGATGGCACCTGCAGACGTTGCCCCCCCCACTGTGACGTTTGCTCTGACGACAGGACCTGTTTCAGTGAGTGATCGGGTTAAAAAAAAAAAAAAAAAAAATCTCAGTAAAAATCACAGTAATCTCACTAAATGTAACTGATCCTCCATATCATCGCAGAGTGCACTTTCCTTTACCTGATGCTCAACGGTGTGTGTAAGGCTAGCTGTCCCGTGGGCTATTATGAGGACATGGAGGAGGGCCGCTGCACTCAGTGCCACCCTACCTGTGGCAGCTGTTCGGGGCCCTTGGCAGACGACTGTGAGACCTGCTCAAACTTCAGTCCCCAGCTGTATAAAGGCGCATGCCTCAAGGACTGCCCCACCGGTACTTACTATGAGGCAGCTGCACAGGAGTGCCAAGGTGAGCTTCGAAATCAAAGAGATTTCACCTGCATGTTTGACATTTATTGAATATGGAAGACAACACCATTTCTTGAATGCACTCTATTTGCTTCTCGTAGCCTTAAAAACTGATGCAAAGAAAAAGAAAGGATTTTCATTGGATAATGTTGAGCGTGAGGAGTTATATGTACAGCATCTATTTTCTGCCCTCCCCGACAAGCCTCAGGAATCGGATGAAGTTTAAGTAAACATACATTGTCCATAACTGTTGTTAATTTGGAAGTCGGAACTAATTAAAAGTAAAATAATCAGTCATTCAGGCACAGAAAAAGAAGACAATTAAATGGTGCTATGCTGTTGCAAAGCCAACTTGACTGCATATATAAATCTTCAGAAGACTAGTTTGGGGTAAAGTCAAAGTTTTGCATACAATATTAATTTACTGAACGTTGGTTATCATTTAGATGACCAGGTTATTACTCAGTGATAGCATAGCTGTATTCAGAGGTGCTGTGAGGTATCTGTCCAAAGGCTCAGTATTCAGCTAAAAGCACAAGGTGAATGCTGTTCTTTTAAAAGAAGAATGCTGTCATGGCTGTCACGGTGACGTAGATGGTCTTGTTTCATTGTTCCCAGAGTGCCACCAGACTTGTATTAGCTGTGCTGGCCCAAATCCAAATCAGTGCATTCAGTGCGAGAAGGGACTGGTGCTGGATCCAAACTCATTACTGTGTGGAGTCACGGGGGACACAGAGTGCCCCCCAAGAACCTACCTACACGATGACCAGTTCACATGCATGGGCTGCCACCAGCACTGTCACTCCTGCGAGGGGCCAGGCAGCTCTGAATGCCAGACCTGCGCCATCCCCCGATACCTCCACAGTAAGCACCACCCGCCCGTGTTTCTGTGCATTTAGCAAACAGAGGTCACTCAGGGTATGCACAGTTCTCAGCACAAAGCTAATTATTTAAAAAGAGCATTTATTATGCAACGAGATAGCGAGGCCGAATCTTTTATCTCTAAGTCGTTAGCTCTCCTGGGACTTGATAAATCTCTATCCTTGATGACTAATGGAATTTTGGCCTGACTCAACTAGTCTTTGCAGCTAATACTTTTTATATAATTTGAAAACCGGCTGCATGCTAATGAAATGCCTAGAAGTGTTTCACAGTTTCTATCCGTTTTCTGTGTTTCTCATTCCCAACGGGGTGGCGGGGGGGCTGGGGCCTATCCCTGCTGATGTTTCACAGTTGCACATTCACCCAAAAAGCTTCATTGATTCAAACTACCGGGTTTATTGTCGATTCTAGCAAACTTTATCTCAAATACTGTACTTAAATAAACATGAGAATTTAGCTACTTTAGTGGAATAAAAACCAAATTAATGCAAACAATGGGATTTTGCAGTTCCATCACTGAAAGTGGCTAAATAGTAATTTACTTAGAAATCAACCTCCTCCCGGTTGGTCTTGCTTTGAAACAACAACGCAAGTTAGAAAATGCTGGGATGTCAGACTTTAAGGTTGCTCCAACCTCTCTAACTATACCATACAAATACAAGGAGCAAAAAACCTGTTTGAGAAATACAGAAAATACATCTAAAAGTAACCATGCAGAGAGCGGTTCCTCTTCAGCAACAGAAATGTGGAGGTTTGAGAAATTGGTTCTTTCAATCCGACAGCCAAAGCCTTGTAAATACTGGTTGAGACATAACACTGTGATGTGGAGCTGCATAACATCAATATTTATGTAATGAAAAACAGCAAAAATAGAGTTCAGTTTCGAGAACAAACCTTTTGAAACGGGATGCTGCAAGGTTTGTTAATACATTTGATTGATTGCATACTTATGAAATTATTCCAGTATCTACTGAATTACTTATGAGCACTTACAAACACAAAAAGAAATAAACAAAGAAAACATTCCACTGCTTAATTTCTTTCTGACAAAAGACAAGGCCACTAAAGACATGAAAACTTGTTGGGCTAACTCCCAGAGCTAGCTGCAGGCCGTGCTCTCCCTTACACAGGTGAGGCTACATGAATTATCCATCAGGGATGCTTTTAGCCGCCCTTTTTCTGGCAGCTCTCTCAGTTTTCATGCTAAATTTATACAAGTTTGACCATATATGAGTGAGTTTATGCACCACAGAATCCTGAATGAAGATCGAGAACGGGAAACATGGGAATGAATAATCGACCTGCAAGAGTAGCCCAGAGACAGAGATTTTTTTTCTAGCATAATCCTGACATCAAATTCCAAGTCATCATTTTCCATAAAAACAATATAGATGTTGATAAGTGTAAAACAGATGGTAAAAAAAGAAGAGCATGCTTCACTGGAGCTTCACTGGAGTTTCAATGGTTATTTCCGTTATTTTTCAGACAGCACCTGTGTGAGCGAGTGTCCAGCTGGGACATACTCCGCAAGGCAGGAAGCTAATGGACAGGACCTGGGATTCTGTTTGCCATGTGATCACGTTTGTTCAACTTGCAGTGGGGCATCGTCAAGAGATTGCCTGTCTTGTTCCCCAGGATACCTGCGGCTCTTTCAGCTCTGCGTTACCCATTGTCCCACAGGGTAGTGCAAAAATGAAAGCTCATATTCTTACATTTTCTTGGAGTTTGGCTGGGTCTATGAAAGATTTTGTCTCCCGTGGATCCAAAAGCCACATGGAATATCCAGTTTGTTCTCAGTTAGAATGTGATTTACTGCTTTTATGATTTTCCAACTATGGATAAACCCCTTTAAATAGTGAACTAATGACATTTTCATCCTAAAACATTCGAGAACCATTTAAAATGATTCATCTTAGGTTTATTCTTGACTAAACGGTTGCTATGAGGGAGTGTGAGTGTGCATGGTTGTTTACTTTGTTTGTTTCTGTTATGGACTTCATGATGGATTTGCAACCTGTCCATCTTGGGTGTACCGGCCTCTCGCCCAATGCCAGTAACTAGGCACCAGCCCCCTGCAACCCAGAATTAGATTTGATGAGATGAATGGATGGACATTTCTTTTCTGTCGTCCTTTTCTTTGCCTCCCCCTGTAGAGATAGCCAAAGAAATAAACAGTGATAGGAAGAACGATCACAATTTCATTTGTCCTTTTCCATTTGAATGCCGACCGATAGTTAATATTTTTAGTTTGAATAAAATAATACAAAATTACCTCTTTATGGATAATTAGTCATGGTTGTGGGAATGATATTCTGTTGAAACTGACGTGTTTCATGTTACGTGACGTGTTCTTTCAGGTATTACCGGCAGGAGTCCCACTGTCAGAAATGTGACCCATCCTGTGAGCTGTGCACAGGCCCAGGGCCTGAATCCTGCAGAGTCTGTCTGCCTCCTCTCCTGGAGCTGCAAGGGACCAAGCTTTGTGTTGAGCGCTGCCCAGAGCGCTTCTATCAGCTGAAAGACATCTGTAAACAGTGCCACACCAGCTGTCGAACGTGCACAGGTACAGAACCCCCTGCATATCGTCTGTCCTCTGTTTGTTCATCTTACTTGGATAATGGACTGTGCTATCTATCTCAAATATTGTGCTAATATTTCTCCTGTGTCAATATTACATGCTGTATTTTAGTTTTGCCAACTATCTATAATATCTCCTCAGACTCCTCACCTCAAGGCTGTGTGACATGTGACCCGGGCAGCACTCTCAAGAACAAAGTTTGCTATCCGCGTTGTGAGGAAGGCCGATACTTTTCTGAAGAGGTGCGTTATTATGTACAATGGCATTGTAAAGTTTCAAATGTGTTTACACTACTGGAGGGGTATGTCAGAAAACATCGGTACCATGTTCCTGAGTTAAAGTTGTGCTATAGATCAATGAGCTAAATTGAAATTCAGTCAGACTAATGAACAGTTTTTAGAAATGATTCATTTAAGTTGTTGAAAATAACAGCATTCACAAATATATGATCAATTTAAAAAAGATTCTCTAATTTAATTTATGTATCAGTGATTAAGATTTCTGTGAACTTCTGATTATGTTTTAGATCATAGATATTTCTTCAAAATACTGAATTATTTTGTTCATAGTACATAATAATGTGGAACTTAAAGTGAACTTATACAAATAGCTCTTGCTTGGATTTTACATTTATGAGATTAACTACATCCATCCATCCATTATCCATCCATCCATCTATTTTCGTAACCGCTTATTCCCTAATGGGGTCACGGGGGGG